TCTATCGCAGAAAGTATTTACTTACAAACAAAGAGGTGCTAATTCCACAAATTTGACTAGCCGCTACGTATCGTGCGACTAGGTCTATTGTTTATAAATTATAATCCACGACTGGCAGGATGCGTGTCGGTCGGTACGTAATTATACCAACAATCAGACAATAGTCCTCGTCGGAAGCATTTCCGTGGTGGTCACTAATTTTGAGTGACGGTCGGGGCCGACCGGCGTGGCGAACAAAGCTTTTTCACATCTGATATTGGCATGTCAAATATGAAATCAAGCGCCGAGGTGGGAACACATAGCGCTGAGGTCCCAAGTGAAGCGCCGAGATTCACAGGTATAGCGCCGCGGACCTCGGCGCTAAAAAGCCCTGGGGAGAACCCTGAGTTAGTTGTGTTGAGGATTGAAAACAGTGTAGCATGTCGAGATTTAAGGTATTCCAGAAAAATTTTCAGGTTCTAACATGCACATACGTTTTTCCAAACATAAAAAAATCTATCCCCCAAAGTTTCTAATGGTCAACCCCTTAATGTTGTTAAATTACTATGCAATATGACCAAATTACCTGATATGGAAATGATACTAGCTAATGATGCAAATATACCAGCTACAGCCATACCACTCATCAATGCCTGCATATACTGAGGTGGTAACATACCAGCTAAACCCACAATACTGCCTTGAAATAAAGCAGCAGAAACTGAAAACAAATCATACATGTCATCATTACAGTGGGGCATAACATGTTCCATTGAAATCCCCCCTCTCCGGTTATCACATGTGTATTTTATAGACCAATGGGACAACTACAAAACAATTTCAATGAATTTGCAGTATCCAAAAACAATCATTTTATAGTTATATTCTGATAAAAAAAAATGCAAAATAATAGATGATGGCTTCATCAACAACAATGTCAATAATGCATGAATAGATATCAGATAAAATTGATATAAACATTTTAACTTACAATTTATTATGATAACACTGAGCAAAGTAATGCCAAAGAACATAGACTGCCCTAGAAATAAAGAACACATTTATGACAGTGTCAGTAACTTGAATGTGATATCAATCTTATGTGTATATACAATAGCACTTGCAGTGAACATGTGATCATACAAAAATTCTACCCACAATCCTCAGATAGACTGAACATAATTATTAGAGCAATTTTACACTTTAAAAATTTATTTTTCATTTGCTTAAACACTGTCCTAGAAGCAAGAACACAAGTAGAAAGCATGCCCCTAAAGAGTAGTTGTAGTGATACAATCAGACATCAGTTAAACAGATGGCATATGGATTTCTAAAACTTACAATCATCAGTGTTTACCAGCACCATGGTGGCAGTGAACGCAAACATAATCATAGTGAAAACCAAACCAGTATAGACACGCATGTTTAGTGAGATTCTGAAATGAAGCATGTAAATCTGGTCTAAACACAGTAAAGCCATAGTTGCTTAAACATTCAATATCATGTCTAATTAACAAGCTTCTAACAAGTCACTGAAATTATTCTCCAACAAATTTGCTGCAATAGTCTTATAAACATGAAATATGCATTGGTGACAACAGTCTGTAATCACAGCAATATTGAATCATTCAAAAGTAAAATACATCTGAAGAAATGCTGGAAAATTGTAGCCACTGTGCCCCATTAGTTTTGGTCAATAAATGGAAATTTGTAGCAGTGTGCTCCCTAGTCCTATGGGGGGGAGGGGGTACAAAATTCAACATTAGCATTAAAATTGCAACAACAATCTGGGTGACAGAAACACTGATATACTTCAGTGGTCAGCTGAAGGAATTGGGCTCATATTCTTCATACAATGAAATATTGACAATTTTCACATTTCAACTTGCATGGTATAAGAACGTTCTTCCCAGAATACAAACAGTGTGGTGGTACTTTGTTTTATTACCATACTGGTCTGACATCGCACAGAACTTGCCTTTTTTTCAATGGGTGACTATTGTGATGAGGTGGTAGAGTATTTTTTTTAGTATGTTAATCATTACAATTTCAGTTTGGAATAATTATGCAAATGATGCAAATTAGTATGGACATTTTTCTCATCACATTGGTTTAAATTCACTAATTACTGGATGTTGAGAGAAATATACCGGAGTAGCACATTTTTTTATTCTATAATTTGATACTTACAAATGTTTCAAAGCAGCATTCAGAAATAACATCACGATACTAGATGACATTGCTGCCAAGGAAAAGAAATTCTCAAATGTTTCCTGCATTTCAGTTGTGTCATTGTGATTTTCCGTATCTCTGTATTTGTAGTTGAAATACTGCAATAGAAAAAAAGATATCAAGGTTAACCATCCTCAACTACATGCTGAGCTATGGTAAATGTTTTGCGTCTCATCCCAGGGAAAATTTTAAGATGATGTAATATGTCAGTTTAAATTTTTTTTTGTATTATTTAACAACATACATGTTCAACATTTAATGTTTAAAACAGACTATCTACACTTGCGTGATGAATATGTAAAGTAAAGCCAATTAATTTGTGCAATTCTTTTACTCTGCACTTATTCATCATATATTTCTAGCACGAAAATGACAATCAGCCATTTTGAATCAGATTCAGAAACAGATGCTTGTGCAAATGTGTTACATGATGTATATGTAAAGTTTGAAAATGATTATTCAAACCATGTTAGAAAATGGCTCTTAATACAACATTTGTTAAAAAGAAAATGGCCATCAGTCAGGCATTTTGAATCAAATCTATATTTAATGACAAAACCAAAGGTTGAATGAAATATGTCCGGGCATGGCCAAGATCCGGTTCTGAAATGGTAGAAATGTGTGATTTTGATGACTTTTTAGCACTAAAATGGCCACCAATCACCACGCTTATTTGGCAATGTATTTAAAAAGAAACACTTTTAACTCTTTTTTTTAGGTTAAAATCTATTCATATGACCTACCCCATTAGCTGTAATGAACATATTCCATGGTAACAGAGTACCAATTCCTAGAAATCCTATTATATAGTAGACTACATGGTACCTGAAAAAGTAAAAATATGAAACATTCAGCTACATTAAAGCAGACACAAAATAGTTGCATACACCCAACTCCTGTACCTTGTAAGCAACTACAAAGAGGCTTTGCAAAAACCCCAGACAATTCCCTGAGAACTTGAATAATCGATTATCAAAACACCAAATGTGATATGCCTTTGAAAAAAACAATGCTGTAATACGAAAATAAAACTGAGAATGAATATGTAAACTGAAAACAGACTTCTCAAGGTAGAGTGAACCAAGTGAGTATTGGTCACCAAATCTGGGAGGAGAATAACGCACTGGAGAGAAGCACTTGTAGCCAAGGTGTTTATTACTCAACTGCTAGGCCTGGAACTGAGTCTAAATACTCACAATATCATTATGCAAATAACTAATCGTCATAGCCTCAAAATGATAGGATATTTACGAGCAATTGATTGGTAGTTTATATTAGTAATAATAGCATTGTGAGTGTGGCGCTCTCAGTTTTCCTTATAAGTGGATATCCTATTTGCCAGAACAAGCATCATCCAATTAATCTCTCCTCTCGAGTTTACCAGATTTATGGCAATAACTTGAGATAAACATTTGTATAATGTCATATAATCTTTCTGGTGTTATATATAACACTCTTCCAAGTTCAAATCCTACATAGGGTTGGGGTTGTTTACAGCCACTGGTCAATTTTCATTTAGCGAATATGCAGAAAAAAATCATTTGAGCGGCTTCAAAGGACTTCCAGCAGCAATGTTCCATTCAAAACAATATTTTTTTCAAAAACATGACACATGCCAAACAACTACTGGTACTAGTCAAAACAAATGTTCATGTCTGTCTATCACTACACATGCTAATTTAGTTTTAATACAAATCATTGCTGACATTCTGTACACCCATTGCCACTACAACCATACCTGTGTTGGGATGGACCCTGAAATGTTGAATTTATTGTCAATATTCCCTTATGAGATATGATGTAAACCGTTTCCATAGGAACCAATAATAAATGAATTCAAAATAGCCATTTTCATGGGAGTCTTGACAAATTTTTTGTGCAAAAATAGTTTGGTGACTCCCGGGTTTTCTAAATTTGTTGATCAATGCATATAAAAAGTAGTATTGTATTATAAGCCAAGAAAATCTTGCAATAAGTTTTAATGGTAGCCAAGTAGCTTGAATCACAATGTTATTGGTATCACATCGTTTACTAAGCAGAGAAACATAAACCCAGTTTATTTTACGTGGTATCATTGCCTGCCTTAAAAAGACGTACTCACAAACTGGTTTAGATTGACACTTTGATTTGAAAAAAAAAAAAACACTAGTCACATGGCTGATTAAAACCTAGCCTAACTATGGCAACAGACAGGATTCATTTCTCCACTGCTTGTTGATTTATTGATACGTTTGTAGACCACAGACAGAACTGGCCATAAAAAGCCATAATTTTCATATGTTTTTCACCAAATATGTTTAATAAATCTGATAATATGGGTGTTCTCTAATGGGTTCTTGCAATCAATACATAATACTACTATACATGAAGGACAGTAAACATTTATCAGATGCATGCAACAAGAACAGCGTTTTCCTGTCATGATGAATCATAGTCTAATGTATTTATTGACATAGTATCAAACAAGAATATTGAAAATAACATGTTCTAGTTCATATTACATCTTTAATGCTTCTGTTTTATCATGACAAATAGGTAGGTCATCTAAAATTGCCTTCAATGAATTTCAATGGATGTTTTTGTAGCTAGAGTCCTAGATCATACAGAAATTATACATTACACATACTACAGGGTATCAGCCATGCTGTACATACTGGGTTATTTCTAGTCTTACATTATAATAATTATTTGAATTACAAATTACTATTATGATGTAATAGTTCTTCATCCTATTGCAGCTGGAGGAAAAAGCCTGTATAATTTCAATATATCGTGTGCTGCAGTATAAGTACCAGGCTGTTGTCAATCCCTCAGTATTTACAAATATTTATGCTAAGCTAGTTTGTTTTATTACATATGTATGATATGTAAATAGTACAACTGAATCCAGCCATTCAAGGCAATTTTAATTGCTGAACAAATAGCGGCAACAAAAATGCAATATTTAAACCCACAGGCTCTAGCAGCCTGAGTTTAGGGTTGGGTTAGGGTTAAATAAGTATAGTATATTTCTTTTGTTTTATATAGTATAGTGGAGTTACAAAACCCAGCTCTATATAAACCCTAACACAACCCAAAATTCCGGTTTCGGGTCTCGTGTTTTAGCCATTGAATACTACAAGTGTCCTTGAAATTGAGTATAACTGTTGAGCTAAATGCGCGTGTACAGCGGAAACTGAAATAACAGCGATGTGTGATGAATTCAGAATGATACCAATGGCTACGTACCTATCTCTGGGTGCTATAATTCCATTTCCTTTCAATTCTGAAACGGTATTCTGTGAGTCTGGTAGTAACTTTGTGGTGAGGTTGTCGTCGATAACTTCGACTTCAGCTTCATACAAACTGTTTGAGGCACGCTCAGTTAAAACACCAGTCGAGTTCATAATTATCGGCTCTGTCTCAGCTTTCTTGAAGATTTAAGTGAGTCGATGAACCCATGCATTTAAAAAAATTGATGAATCTTCGAGACATACAAGCCCATGCATGCTGTGATAAGTAACGAGGAATAACAACTTACTCACTGCTCATTTGCACGTGACTTCCCGTGCTATTTTCGTCTACAGGGGGCGCTATTTTAAAAGGTCGTAAGTTCGTGATACATAAGGGCTGTAAAACGGCCGGGACATATTCGTGTATTTTCAGTACTGACAAAATTTATGATAAGTTAGCGTAATTTTAAATCAAATTGTGTAGAAAAATTGCGCGTACAACAAAAATAGACTTTGTAAAATAAAATACAATGAAAAGGTAGTCGAGAATAAAATTGACCGTTCATTCTAGTAGGAGAGGATAGCTGGTATAGGTTACAGGAAATAAACACGGCCTTTTACGTTTTTACAGGAAATAAAATGAAAGTTCCATTTAAAGTAAAAATAGGTTTTTATACTTTTCAGATAAAGCAAATTCCTAATAACATTTTACATTTTTATAATATTTTTGATAATTTGAGTTTAAGAATCAAAATTGGAAATTACCACATTTAATTTGGAAAATGCTTTATACGCTTACAAACATTAATATGTTTGTACAAATTACGGACGAATAAAATAGCTGATTACATTTTAGACCTTACCCATGTCTACGAATTTACGCTTTTTATTTATTTTAATTACATTATCACGAAAATATAAACAATTGATTACAGCTTAAGAAAATATTCCTTGCCGAACCTCCTAGTAGAATGTGAATTATATAACATTGGAATATGTTGAGATATTGCGATCTCATTTTATTTTCACTTCAACACAGTTTTCAAACTAATGACCGTAGTACACTGTGTGCTTTTCATTTGAACCTTAATTTGCTCGGATTTTCATTTCCAGGCCGTTGTTTTGTCTAGTCATGCTTGTGATTAACCAATCGCCATCGTTGTTCTATAATGCCCTATCATGTTTTTAATTGGCAGTCATAACAATCCAACTTTGTTACCTGATTGTTGTCAAGGGCGGTAGT